AAAAGCAACATGTTTAAATTACTAGGCACGGAAGCATTTTTATTTATTTATTTATTTTTATAACAGACACTTTATTGACTTTAGAGAGAAAGGAAGGGAGAGGGAGAGAGAGAAAGAAACATTGATGAGAGGGAATATCGATTGGCCGTCTCCTGCATGCCCCCACTGGGGATTTGGCCCACAACCAAGGCATGTGCCCTACCAGGAATAGAACCAGTGACCTCTTGGTGCATGGGTCTATGCTCAACCACTGAGCCACACCTGCTGGGCACTAAGTGAATGCTTTATATGGAAGTACACTGTGTAGAAGGGAGAAACCATAGGTCTCCTCTGCTTGAAGTTGACATTGTGGTAGAGCAGCCCTCCCTCGTACCTCTGCCTCCCTTGCGTTGAAGAGATTTCACCAAACCACTTGAACTTTGAGGACAGCAGATTGAAAACCATGGGCCACCGTCCAATCCCTTCATTTCATAAATAAATAAACCAAGGTTCAGAGAGGTAAAGTTAGAGGTAGAGCTTAGATCAAAGTCCAAGTCTCTATAATGTTCAATCCAAAACCTATTGTATTCTACTAAAAGAAAATAGACTGGTTACTTATTTAAGGTTAGTCATGAAGGCTTTTAATCTACAACATAGAATGTTCTGATATAGTTAAAGGTTTTAGGTTTCAGGATGAGTAATAAGTAGACCTGTTATTTTCCACCCAGGTGTTTTATTTCACCTGTGGTGGCAGCTACCAAGTTAGTGTGGCCACCTCTCATAGGTAGGAAAGATCTAGTCATCCAGCTTCTGGGTTAAACCCATATACAATTTTAAAAACACATTATACTTAAAATCCTCACTGTTAAATATTTTTTAGTTAGGTAACTAATAAAAAGTAGAAACTGGCCTTAAAATAATTGGAAAATACACCAAAACGATCCTTTCCCCAGCACCATCTCTCTCTCTCTCACTCACACATGTAGTCTCACCCACTCAGTAGACTGTTCACAGAGCAGAATGTTCTGCTTAAAGACGTTTTCTGTTTCTCAGAAACAGAAAGACAGTCTCAACCATAACTGTATGCCAATGACTTTTAGAGTAAAAAATATATGTACACATTCCTGGTCTGAGTTAGGTGCACATACTCCTCCACCTAGAGAATCTTATTCAATAGGTATGAGGCTACAGGAGTGTGTAAAACTATTCATCCACAGGAAAACACACTGAAGAACACCATTCCGCAGTGATGGTGGAAAGGCACTGGCTTCCCTTCATCCCTAAAGAGCAAATTCTACTGCCTTGAAATTGCAGAACTCCAGTTCCTGAGTCATATGTGAGAGTCCCTATGGATTTCCAACCCATTGTTAGAGCTTCTTGCCAATGTATTAACTTATGTTAAACTGTCTCTTCACCCTAAATCCTGAGGATGCTCATGACCTTAGTGGTAGACAGTCTTTCAAAATTCAAGAACTATCCAAGTGTCCCACAACATCCTCAGAGCTTTAAACTTCCTGAAGCTTTACTCTAAAACATCTCTTGAAATACTGACCCTCTAAGATCTGTTTCAGAATCCAAGCCATAAGGAAAGTCTTGGAAGCCAAATATAGATCCAAACCTGCTCCAATTATGTGGAGCCTAGAGCCTTGGATTCCACAGATACAGCAGGAGTGGCGACTGGGGGAATAACATACTCCTTAGAAACATTATCTCAGAGTTAGATGTCCCTGGAAGAAATCAAGGGAGGGAGGAAAGCTGCCTGGCTCCCATGTTTTAGTGACATTGGGGCAGAGAAAATTGTACCTACATGAACTGTTGACCACTTGCTTGAATAATGTGAATAATTGAAATCCATGGGGGAAGAGATCAAAAGAGCATTTAAAAACCTAGAGAGAGAGACAGGTCGGGCACCACAGTACCAACAACTTCAACACAGAGGCTGCAACAAAGAGAATCAGGCTGACTGAAAGCTGGCACCATTGTGCTGAGAGTTGCGAGGCCAGCAAGCAAGAATCACGTCTGATCATGGAAAATTATTGCCAAGACAGTGAGCATTGCTGACAGGAGAGAATCTACAGTTGTTTCTCCTCTGGCCCTAGATTTGCGCTTCCGTTCTGTGAAGCCAGCTTTGGCTTTGATGTTCTGAATCACTGTCTTGGTAGCATGCCTAACTTACTCCACAGCTGCACAGGTAGAAGGCAGAAAACTCTAGTGCACACCAGGTCCACCCAAGTAGTGCAAACATGTGATGTGCCCTGTTTGGGAACTGTGCAAACTGAAGAGTGTGTGTCCTGTTAGGAGGGGACAGTGATTGCTCAGCCCCAGTGGTTACTTTCATATAGGAATTTGGGACCAGATCTTTGACAACAAAGAAAAAATATTATTATAAAAAGTACCTGGCTGGTGTGGCTTAGAGGTTGAGCGTCGACCCATGCACCAAGAGGTCGCCAGTTCAATTCCTGGTCAGGGCACATGCCCAGGTTGTGGGCCAAATCCCCAGTGAGGGGCATGCAGGAGGCTGTCAATCAATGGTCTCTCTCATCGATGTTTCTATCTCTCACTCCCTCTCCCTTCCTCTCTCTCTAAAATCAATGAAAAATAAAAATAAGAAAATAAAATACCCCAAAATGATTAAAATGATAAATTTTATGTTATGTATATCTTGCCACAATAAAAAAAAAAAAAATAACAAAAGAAAAAGAAACCAAAAGCATGTGGGCCAAATAAAAATAATCTGTAGTCTAGATGCAGCTGTGGACTTCCCATTTTCAACCTCTGCTCTAGTCACAGGGCCTGGTTTTGGCCTTTCTTCCATCCTAATCCCTATTTCTTCCCACTTTTAAAGATGGCTTAACCCCTGGACTTCTGCCCAAGGACCCAGGTCCTGGAATCTACCACAAGACCACCTTGAGGGTGCATTTTAAAAATCCTGAAGAGTGATCTGACCCTGAATTCTACCAAATTGTCAAGACACCCTACTTCCTTTGTTGGGTCATCAACATTTTATTGCCCATGCAGACCGCAACCAATGTGTCACCATCCCCCAAGGCTCCTGGGTTGCCTGTGACTGGGTCTGATCCCACCTGGCCCTGCCAGGTCTGCAATCTTCCCATCTGTCTTATCACACAGCAGGGCCTCAGACAACATCAAGTCTGCCCTGAGATGAAAAAATGATGACAACTTGCATTCCCCAGCTATGTGCTAGGTTCTGTCGCCTTGCTAAGTGTGTTACATGAATTACCTCACTTAATGATTCCCATAACCCTGTAAATTCGTATCATTTCCTAAGGAACCTTAAGAACTCCATATTCATTTACAACTGCACAGCTACGAAGTGGAAGATCTGACGTTCAAGCTTAAGTCTGAAGCCCACGCCTGCTCTATGGGCCTACATGGGAGACGCAGGCAGGGAGAGGGCTCAGGTGTTTCTATGCTCCATGCAGGTAGGAAGGGGGAGTGCTCTGGCATTCTTTCTCAATTTCACAACATGCTTTGAAAGTTTGCAATATAATTGCCTTCCAAATTTGTGATTTTTTCTAAGTACAGTTACCTATGGTTCCCAGGTTTGGGGATTTCATGATCAGCAATATTTCCAAATATATTTTGAGAGCCAACATAAGGTTGCCAAACTTCTATTTTTCCAAGTAAAGATATTTTTAAACTTATCATTTAGCATCATTATCACTTCAGTGAATGAAAACTTTAACACACACACAAGTGCATGTGCGCACACACACACCCCCCCCACGCACCCACGCACACGCATTTGCAGCTCAGTGGAGCCAGGACTGCGGCCCTCCTTCGTCTTCCCCCACGGCCGGTGTGCACATGCGCACACACAGGACCTCAGCCACGACTGTGTTATGTAAAGTGTGCAGGGAAAACTATTGTTTGAAACTTGGAAAACCTTACTCCACCAAACAAAACAATAGCTTTATAAATGTTGACTAGGTTCCCACATCACAGGGTAGATCTAGAATATCTTATTTTGAATATGAGGTAAGCGAGGCCCGAGGAGGTTAAGCCATTTTTTAAACTAACACCCAAGCTTTTTCAGAGCCAAGACTAGAAGTGGACTAGTCTGGTAGCTGCTTCAGTTCTCTTTTCAGCATCAAAGACAATGAGACTATCATTTTCATTATATAATATTTAACATTATAAGTTAAACAGGCTTATGGAGGAATGGCTTTGGAAATGCACCACTATTTTTAAAAATGGTTATGTGGAAAAAACACAATCTGCAGCATGAACTTTTATGCCAATATGGCTCTTATGACAGACACATTCCCTTTTTTCACGCCCTGCCTCTGCCAACCACCACAACAAGGAAGTCTAGTGTGATCCCCAGAGGTGAATCTACTTCCACCCTCCAGAAAAAGATAATCATTTGACTTTTAATATCAGAAATTTATAAATCTGTGTGTCTCTGAGTGTGTTTGCACCCGTATTAGTACTCAACATAAGAGTAAAAGTGGGTCACTGACCTGTAACCAAGGAATAGTTATTAACATAACCCTTAATTAGAATCATATTTACTGTTCTGTTGGCTTAGCACCCTCCCTACACTCTACAGAGTTCTCACATGAAAATATCTTTTGAGGCTGGGGCTCTGTAGAGAAACAAAAGTGTGCAATCCACACAAACTTGTAAAACTCAAATATATCTTTTTCAGAGGGATAGGAATGAATGTATTAAACTATAGAAACCCTTAGTTCAAGGAATCAATGATCAAGGAGGACCATAGGGATAAGAAGACTCCAAACAATAAATTTACTTCCAGTTTTAAGTTTGTAATGATTAGCCCAGACTCTCTAGTGATACGCTATGTATATGACATATTGCACATGCATATATGACCATGAGCATTATATATAATGAATATTATATATGATATAATATAAATATAATTTATATATGATGTATTATATATAGTAGTATATGTTAAATATAAGTAATACACAGAGTATTTAGGAGATCAGTATCAAGGAAAATGTTTCTAATTATGAAAAGTGGCATCATACTTGAGAACTTCAATTTTCTTCTCCATTTTCCAAGGCTTGCATTTGACATTAGCAATCATTTGTCTTTGCTCATCTAACTCTGCCTTCAATCTTTCCAATTCCTCTTCATCAATTTCGTCTTCCCTTTAAAAGAAAAAAAGAAAAAATAAATAAAACCTCAATAAAGTTATGTTTGACTTGACTTCCAAACCTAAAGAAAAAAACAGTATCAGAAACACAGCCGCCCATCAAGGTGGCTGTACACAGGGGTTGCTGAGATCCACAAGTACTGGAGTTTACCCCCAAACACAGATGCAGGGCTTCTGGAATTATCATGCCTTTAAAGAATAGCATTTATATTCTGAACTAAGCTGTCCTTATATATATATAGTCCACAGCCTCGAATTCTCATAATAGTTACAGATTTTTCAAGATTATTTTCTCTCTTTTGTGTTCCCTGGTACACATTCCCCCACTGATTCTACAATGCATTTTTAAACTTTATTTCCCAGGAAGGACAGTAAATTAGAGATGAAGATATCTTTGAAGTGTCCTTACATTTTTTAAGTTAGCTCTGGCTCAAGAGAAAGAGAGAAAAATTGAAATAGAAATTTTTTAAAAAACTGTTTCTCAAAGTTCACTTAAGCTCTTAATTAAGCTCAAAACTTCAATTGATAAATTTCAACTTGAATTCTATTTGGAAGTGAATCCTTTGAAGAGACCTTCAAGAGAATTTAGTTTCTTACTGAGCAAATGAGATATATCTTTTCTCTTCTGTGTTCCTAGTATTGCAAAAATAGTATATGGTCCAAAACTTGAAGAAAATGAAATGAAAACATGAGAAGCATAATTATAAATCGAGGAATGTAATGCCATATTGTAGAGATCAATTTTTTTTTTTTTTTTTTTGGTACTAGATTGTTTTAGTTATTAAGCTTTTGTCGCTCAAGTTCAAATTCACCTTTTTATACTCAATATTGCAATGCTGGGGCTGGGTTTCTACGGCACACTCTGCTTTGTCAGCTGGCTCAATATTAGGTTGCCAATAGGTTGATACTAAGAAGAAAGTTGGTCTTTCCTTTGGTTTTCTGTTTGCTTCTTGGGGTGATGCTTCATCCTTAGCAATGTTTCTTCACTTAAGGTGCTTCAGGTCCTCCTCACAGGTACAGGAGACTCTAGTTTGCCAATGTTCCACCACTAGCAGAAGGAGCTTTATCCCTTGAGCATCATCCTCTCTGCAGTGTTGTCAGCTCTGTAGGTCCCTTCTCCATGCTTCTAAGTTTTAATTTCAATCTCTTTCCATTGTTCCTCTCTAACCCTTGGGTGGTAGCTGTTTCCTAAAGGTGCTATCACCATATACCTAGTGTTCTCTCTTCACTTTTCCAGTAACCTAGTTAACAATTATTATTTATTAAGCAGTTCCTTTGTGAAATGCTCTCAGTTCAATTAACTGTTGAAATTTTTTCCTGCTAACTAGACCCCCAAAAAGACATTGTGCTCTGACTCACAGTCAGAAACATGTTTTTCTGTTCACTAAGCTTATGACTAAGCACAGTAGGAGTATGGCAAAAACTGTTTTTGAAAATTCTAGCTGAGGAACAGGACATATCCATAGTTCTACAGCCCATCTTAAGAAATGACTTTACAATCTCCTCTCTTTCTCACCAATCCATAGGTTTAATCATGCCATGATTACTGAAACAAAAATTCATATTAACCCTCCAAAATAACACTTTCTCTTGACCGTTTGGTTTTTGGCCAACTCAGATATTTTTGCTTAGATTAGTAATCCTGACACAAGAGAACTATAAAAGTACACTCTATTAAAATACAGCTCTGATTGCCATTAGCTTGTTTCTCTTTTAATTACTTGATGTTTATTATATAAAAATCTTATGACGACATAAAATACTTGAGGATTATTTTAGTGCATCTGTAGCCATCGTTTTTTAAATATGCCAATTAGAAAAATACGTGAGTTGGTTTGTTCTAAAAGGAAAAATACATTTTACTAAAAATATTTGCTTTACTAAAAAATACTCAAAATATGGTTTCCATGTTGACATAGAACAAATCTAAAATATATAGATAATTGTTTTACTGAAATCTTTATGGAAACTATAAGAAAGAAAAAAATATGTCAAGAAACTATCAAGAATGAATTTAATTATAAAACAAAAAATATAAGATTAATAATTTAATTGCTTGATATTTTAAGTCTTTAACTTGCCCACTTTTCTAAAATAATTCATGACATTTACATTTAAGTACCCTAAAGCTGTACATTACTGAACGTCCATTAAGAATCTTACATAAAACAGTGTCCCATTTAATCAAGCCTCATCAAAGAATGAAAGAATGATTTATTCAATGTGTAGATTTACCACATAACTAAAGCTTACTTCTTTACATACAAATTTTTAGAAACCACTTAATAGAAACCTTCCAAACACTAATTATATGCTTCCTGCTATTTTACTCAACATATACTTTATATGTTTAACCTATCCAAATTTTGTTTTTCCTTCAAAAATCATAATAAATGTTTTCAATAATCCCTTTTCCTGATTATCCCTATGAGAATAGTTTTCTCTTCAAACCACTCCAAACCACTTTGTACTTCTGGGCCACATTTATACAGTCTTGTTTCATAATAATTTGTGTCTAAGTGGCTTCTTCCTTATCCATATTATAAACCTGTGGAGAATACAGGGAATTGTATATTCATATCCATGTATTCCAAAGACATTAGCAAATTATCTTCCACAGAATTGGAGCTGGATAAATATTTATTGAATAAATGCATATATATAGAATTTTTCTGGATGATGAGGTTATCATTATTAACCCAGTGCTTGAAGTACACTGAAATATAACAATGTCTTCCAAGATCAGTATAGTATGGAAAGACATTTATTCCTACACTAAGTGATCCCAGACTAGTACATTTTTAAGCCTTTGTTGTTAGTGGTTGATTGCTGCCAGAGGATCATGCTGTGCTACAAGGTATAGTTTTTGTTGGATGAGTTACCTTCAAATATGCAGGTAATCAAAATAGTACTCATCAGTGTTACAGGAAAAAATGCTTTCCTAGGAACCCCTCAAAGAAAGTGCTAATCATGTTAAAAGAATATAGCGCAGCCCTGGCAAATGTGGCTCAGTGGTTACAGTATTGGCCCTTGCACTGAAGGGTCACAGGTTCAATTCCTGGTCAAGGGGATTCACATAATTACCTGGATTGCAGGTTGTTTCCTGACCCTGGTTGGGTACATGCAAAAGGCAACCAACCAATGTGTCTCTCTCACACTGATGTTTCTCTCTCTCTTCTTCCCTCCCTCCCTTCCACTCTTTCTAAAAATCAATGGAAAAAAATCTTTTAAAAAAAAAATCATCACCTGAAGATATTTTTTCATTTATTTTCAGACAGAGAGGGAGGGAGAGAGAGAGAGAGACAGAGACAGAGAGAAAGAGAGTGAGAGAAACATCAATTGGTTGCCTCCCGACCAGGGCTGGGACCAAATCTCAGCTGAGGTGCGTGCCCTTGACTGAAATCAAACCCAGGATTCTTTGATCCATGGGCTGATGCTCTAACCTCTGAGCCAAACCAGTCAGGGCTATCTTTGGGTGAGAATTAACAACAACAACAAAAGAATATAGCACAGACATGTTTCATCTAAAATTTAGGGCTTATTTGTGCAAGAACAGCTTTCTATCTTAAGTTTGATTTATTTAAACAATAGTTGTTAGGAAAAATGTGCTGAAGTTCTCACTGCTATGAACATATTACTTATTCGCTTAAAACCGGGTCAGAAATAGCCTGTAATGTTATTAGAAATCCTCCAAAATGTCTAACGAGACTGTTTTTTTAACCGTCCCCAAAGATAACATTATAACCTTGATTTTAGTTGGTTTCAAACGTTTTGTCCACACCAGAGAAATTCCCTGAGGTGTTTCATTTGAACATTTACATTTTAAAAGACCATGAATTAATTAACCTCATTAAATGTATTCTGATTTGCCTACTTACATTTCTCAAAATATATTTGCTAATACATCTTCTTTAAAAGATGCTTATCTTCGAAATGAACAATAGAAAATGGACCCTTAGACAGGGATCAGAACTATCAATCATGCCAAATAATTTGTGATACTTTTCAGAATAGTTGCACAAATTGTGGCAGCAATCATATAATTGGCAAAACCTGTGAAGACAAAGTTCATTTTAGCCAAGTTTGGCTCTGTGGGGGAATGGGCAGGTAGGGAGGCATGGGTGTTTGTGAGTTTCTCAGAATCAGGATAACAGTGGGACCAGCTAAGGACGGACACAAAGAAACAAGATTCCCACAGGAAACAGGGACCAAGACCTCACTGATTCTCACAGTCCGATCCCTAGAGGTTGAGCAGTTGACATGAGGGTCTTACGCAGACCAACAGAGCAGAGAAATTCCCACCCAACTAACTTTTTTCATAAATGGGAAGGAAAGGTAAATTCTAGAACACAGCCTGTGTCAGGCATAGGTATTGGTGATGTTTTCTCAATGAAATACCACTGTCAGATGCATAAGCTTCGCTAATAGGAAATATTACTAAACTATAAGTAATAGTAAGACATGGAACTTAAAAGCATATTGTCTTTTATTTTTAAAACGAACAAAGCATAAAGATACTTTAAACGAAGAAACAAATAAAAAATGCCAGAGCTATAAAAAAGAAAGAAAGAAAGATCTTTTACCCTTTGAGATGGCATGGAGGGACCTGGACAGTATTATGCTAAGTGAAATAAGCCGGCCAGAGAAAGATAAGTACCACATGATCTTACTTATTTGTGGAATCTAATGAACAAAATAAACCGACAAACAAAATAGATCCAGAGCCTTAGAGGTAGGGAACAGGCCAACAAACCTCAGCGGAAAGGGGGCAGGAAGAGAGAAACGAAAGACCTTATGTGCATATATGCATAACCATGGACACAGAAAGCAGAGAGGTGAAGTAGGGGAGAGGGGCGGCAGCAGGGTGGAGGGGTCAATAGAGGGGGGAAAAAGGAGAGACATTTGTAATACTTTCAACAATAAAGATAATTTTTTTTAAAAAGCAGCACAAGACTCTTAACACATTAAAAATTAACTGTAGCCTAGCCAGTGTGGCTCAGGGGATTGAGTGTCATCCCACGGACTGAGATGTCCTGGTTCAACTTCCAGTCGGGGCACATGCCCAGGTTGTGGGCTTGATCCCCAGTTGGGGGTGTGCAGGAGGCAGCGGATCCATGTTTCCCTCTCACGCTGATGGTTCTATCTCTTTCTTCCTTCCTCTCTCTCTCAAAATATCAATAAAAACATTTAAAAAATTAATTAACTATAATAAAATAAACTGAATTTCTGAAGTTAAAGAAAAGGAAACAATTAGTATTACCACCATGTCATCAAAGAAACATTTAAACAAAAGTAGACTGATATAATCTCAGAATGACAGGTGTTCTTTTATATTAGACGGGGAAAAAGCCAGAGTCAAAATTTAAAGCAGGTGGTGTCTGGGTTATCAAAGAAAGAAGAAAGAGGAGCTTAAGAAGGAGAAGAAGGCAAAGAAAAAAGAGGGAAAAAAAGAGAAGGGAGATGTAAATACATAAGTTAATAAAAATGTAATAAAGAAGAGTTATTCTTTTATTTTAAAAGGAACCACCATCTATTAATGCTAAACTTCTCTACCTGAAAAAATTTTCAAACAGTTGTATTTAATAACAATAATTTATGAGGAAGAACATAATAGCTAAGCATTGAACACTAGACTGTGTCACCTTGGAAAAACATCTTAGAAAGTTTCTCATCATTTACTCCCCTAGGAGTGTTTGGGAGACGATCTCATCACCTCGTGGTGATTCCATGGCCCGGGATGGGCAAGAGTAGGTTGGCTATTTTCTTAAATCCTTTCCAAGGGGTCTAGGATTTCTATTATTAGGTTTGTTTTGCACACAGTTTTCCAACCTGTCTGTTATCTACAAATTTCTGGAAAGCAAAGACCAGAAAATGATTTCCTTGGATTATCCCTAGATAGCATTAAATATATTAATTCTTCACAAAGTCAGCACTCAGTAAAATGTTGGCTTGGTGGAACTAAAAAATAAATGGTGTATTCAAAAGGAAATGACAACTCCAACCCTCTGTGACAGGGGCCCATACACATGATTTTTCTGTAAAGGGATAGATAATTAATATATAGCTTTGACTGCTACATACAGTTCTGTCCCATTTTTATCTTTGTTTTTTATTAATAACCCTTTATAACTATGAGAACCATTCTTAGCTCTTGGGCTTAGCCATAGTTTTCCAACCCCTGCTCCATGCAATAAAGCGATTTGTGCTCACTGTTTAGGAGTTTTCCACTTTGCTAATAATGCATATAATCAGTGAGATAACTGTACAATATCAAAATTAATTCTAACATGTTAATGACTATTACAATTTAGTGGTCTCATAAGGCAATTCCTCTTATGCCATTTTTAATATATATTTATTTGTAAATTCTATTTTAAAATTAAAATACATTTAACTAAGTGGAGTAAAATGGCAGCATCAGATAAGGCTTGTCTTTCTTTTTTTTATCCTCACCCTAGGACATTTTTGCATTTATCTTCAGATAGAGCAGGAGGGAGACAGGGAGGAAGAGAGAGAGAGAAATATCAAGGTAAGAGAGACACATTGAGTGGTTGCCACCCACAGGTCCCCAACTGGGGCCGAGGACAAACTGCAACTGAGGTACATGCCCTTAGCGACAACCAAACCCAGGTCTCTCCAGTCCCGGGCCGACGCTCTAACCACTGAGCAAAACCGGCCAGGGCAAAGCTTAGCTTTCTAAAAGTAGTTTTAACAACCAGTTTTAAAGCCAAAGAGTGTTTAAATGCAACGGCCTTCTTTCAGCATCAGGTGCTTTTGAAAGAACAACAATTTCAGTTACAGATCAGAACTAACTTACGCTCCCCTCATCAACTTCTTCCTCCTCTCTTTTTCTCGGGCCTTCTTTGTTTCTTCATCCTCTGGTTCAGCTGGTAGGTCTTCCTCATTAATAACATCTCTGGTCCGTTTCCTCTTAGGTCTCAAGCTCTCTCTTCGAGGTAATTTATCTTCATCATCCTCTTCTTCTTCACCTACACACAGCAGTTAATGCTTCAGTGAGCAATACCAGAAAGTGTTCTTCCCTGCTACCAAATGTATTTACTCTTGAATTACATTGTCACGATGTGACACCGCCATCCAGCAATTCTCTATATCACAACAAGATGTACGACACCATATATATTTCATAGCCTGCCACTAAAACATATTTGTTTAGATTATCATTTCTTCTGAGGTTCATCTATTTGAATATATTAATTATGGAGCTACAAATTTTAACACTCTTTAGAATTCCAGTATTTACTTGGGCAACTTGATTACTTGGGCAACCATGACCTCTAAACTAAGTTTAGAGATTACCAATCCAATATATAAGGGTTGATCATTAACTACTCTGTGTTTACTTCTACTTTTATCTTAGAACAAAGGACAGAAATGACAAGGAAAGGATGCAGACTGGAATAATTTTGAAGATATTAATTTATCCCTTGAGATTTCTCCTAATTCAAATTATCCTCATTCTTGATTCCGAATATTTTTTTCTTCTTTGTCCTAACTATCCCTTCCTCAAATTAAATTGATAAATTGATAGTAAATATATTTGCTTGATCATTCTATCTTTATGGATAGAAACAACTTGTAAATACATATTTAATGTAACTAAAAAAAATTATGTTTGTTTGTTTTATCAACAAACAATGCCTCATTTGCCCATAACGTCTTAGGAAGCATCCAGGTAAAGAGTAGAAAGAGACTTTAGTTCCTTCCTTCAGTTTATAATAGTTAATCCTACGTCACTTTCATCTTTGTGAAATTTTGATATTTTTAACTCCTTCTGATATTTAGAATCAACTACTATAAAATCAAATATTATTCATACTTAACTACTATTTCATTATTTAGAAGCTACTGTAGGAAAAAATTTGTGCTTCAATGGAAAATTATAAATTGTCTGCAGCATTCTCTTCCACGTTATCTGATTCTGATTCTTGGGAGCTATTTTATAACTTTGTGAATTATAGATAATTGGATAGCAATGCAAAATAATTCTTGTCTGCAGACACATGAGTACACAAATAAACTCTGTTTAGTAGAGAAATAAGGATCCCCATCAAACACACACACACACATACACACACACAGAGAAACATCATTTCAATATTCCTGATCTATAAATGTATCTGTTCTGTGGATTTGCCTTTGAACTGGTTGCAATGCCTCATCAGATTTCTCATTCATTGGTTAAATATGTTCATTTTTGCATGTGTGTTTTATCTTTTAACACTACTTATCAAAAAATTTTGTTGAGATTTCAAATCATTGTCTAAATTACTAAAGTTTGGCTAGCACAGAGACTAGGTTTAAAACACTACTCTGTTATCAAAACCAAAAATGGGTTTCCACTGGTTAAATATTGTGGCAAATACCATGTGTTGTTTGCCCATTCTGGTATTCTGAAAATTTACCCAGCCTTTATTAGGCACTTTAGTCACTGATTATAGAAAGGACAAACTTGCTAGGGTTTAAGAAACAATTTCACCTACAAATAACTCAAGAACTCAAGCAGTAACTTAGTACTCTGCATTTTAGTATATTTTGTTTTAAAAGTTAACTATTAAACTTGCAGAGTTTTACCATGGATGAAAAGTGTACCATTAGATTTATCTTTTAACACTTAAGAATAAAAAGGTGGTCTTTAGTTTTAACTAATTTCCAAATATTCAAATTCTAAAAAAATAAATGTTTGCAGTTGCCTACTAAATGTAGATTTGTATATAATGTTACTTTTTGGAATGGGCTCCATTCAGTATTGAGAGGTAGCAGAATATGCCACCTCAAATATGACTGTTGGAGTTCAAGATATACCACCCAAAAATAGGCCACTTCGGTACATTGATTACTCTGAGCTGTAGACACTTGAAAAACAGCAAATTCAGGAAGAAGCTTTCTCTGAACTCCTTCTTCTGCCTCCAGACACAGGCTCTGACCGGAATTCAATGATCATAAATCCCCTTCCCAGGAGTTTCATCCCTAGGGAAGGTTGACACCTCACAGGACAGGAGACTAGAAGTAGACACCACATTGAGACAAACTTGGTGACAAACTGTCATAATTCCCATCGATTCTTCTAAGGGCCCATTCATCTTTCCTAAAAATCATTTATTTGCTCTTAAAAGGCCTATATCCCCTTCCTTTTCCTTATTAAGATGGTATCTAATTCTAAATTCTAAGCCACCTCAGAGAGTTACTTTTTTTCTTGGGTATCTCCCATATATACAGGAGCCATATGTGTTAATAAACTTGGTTGTTCTTCCTTTTGTTAAGCTGTCTTATATTACAGTTAGGCTCTCAGCTAAAAACTCAGAAGGGTAGAGAGAAAATTATTTCCCCAGCCCTACAGTATTCAAACTATGGTATCCAGGATCTGTGAGAGATTCTGGGCTGTTTTCATACAGAATACACCAAATTAATAAAAACAATTAGCTTTGTGAACATTCACTGGTGGCTATTTTATGCTCAGGTTATTAAATTGATAGTGTTGATGTATTAACTAATCAAACTCTTCTTGAGATGCTGCTTTTTCTTTCAGTTTTGGTAAATCCGAAGCTTTTGTTCACATAGTGATTTTTCTCATGTTCCAGCCCATGAGTGATCTACATGTCTGGAAAGAGGTTTCAGTCCCAGCTGTTGAGCTGAACCTACACGAAGTAAAAACAACAGAGCAATTTGGACAAAACACAAAAGAACTTGCTTATTCAGTTTAATTGAACCACCTGATCAGTTCAGTCAAAATGGCCAATCTGTTCCATTGTAATAGATTCAGCTTTAGAGAAAAGCTTTTAGGACAAAGACTTTAACAGGAAAAAGAGTAAAAAAATAAAAAAGCAAATTTTTCTGAACTATCAACTATTTGATCATGAGTAACTTATTAATTGGGTGGAATGTGTGTGTGCGAATTGAGTGGAATCTAAAGTAGAGATTCTACCCGCTGGGTTTGAACTACTTTGTGAGGCCATCAAAAGTCATCCACACATGCTCCTGTGTTTCACAATCCCACAAGAAAGGGGGGTGAATCCCCTGAACTCACTGCTATTCCACAGGAAGCATATCCCAAGTGGGTCCATCCCCACTTACTTGAACTTTCCTCAGTATCATCTTCTTCTTCTTCCTCCACTTGGATTTGTACTGTTGAAGAAAGAAAAAATATAGTGACTCTTTAAATGACGGCACAATTGTCAGTCACTGTTTTTTACTGTTATTATTTTCATAATAAAGTTCTTTTGTGCAGTTAATAAAAACATTTTTCGGTAAACTTGTCCAAATGAGCACTGTTTATTAAAGATCCATAGCTATAGCTTCTTATACAAGTTGTGCAGACTTCTCTCCTTCACTGCCTTCAAGCATTTGCAAAACATACCAATTATAAGCCTGTCAGCTCAATTTAAAAAAGCTTCAGCCAAAATAAATTCTGTATTGCAATAAATAGACTTGGGAGTTTGTTGAATTATTTTATTCTAGGAAAACTGAATTTTTAGTAAAGCTATATCCACATGCACACTTTGGTTATTATAACCAAATCAACTTAATAAAATAGAGAATATTTCATTCTAACCAGTGAACCAATGTCAAAGAGCCTTTTAAAAAATGCTTAAAAACTGATATTTCTTATTTCAATTGTTTCTGTATGGATACAGCCTAAATGCTCTAATCTGATTTACCTTGACAATGTGAGATAATGATATTACAGTTCTGTCTAAGACCAGGAACATGTCTTCTGTTCATCTCTCACCCCAAACTGAAACAGTGTCTTATTTTTAGTTTTGCTCCATTTTTATAAAGGCATATAAAGACTATAATATGTTTAATGTAAAGTAATATGAGAAAACATATTCATTGACAGGTTTTATTTTTTCTCTCGTCAACTATTGTCCATTCATGATGAGTTTAGTCAGCCAGAGACCAGCAAAGCTCTGAAACTTGGCATGGTAACTTGTTTATAAAGTATCAATTTTAGTCTAGTAGCTTGTTTATAAAGTATCAATTTTATCATATTTTTGTTTAAGGTGAATGGGCATAAGTCAAAAAAAAAAAAAAAATCAAAGATGACAATGTTGCTATGAACACAGAAAACAACCTCCGGTTTTGTTTTTGCTCGCTCACTGTCAAAGGTTATTATTCAGAACTTAACAGGCATATTGAAAAGGTGACACATGCCAAGAGTTGAAATTCCGTTCACAAAGAAGATTATTGTAAAAACACTTTTTGCCTTTAAAAAGCATCTGCATAAAAATGTTTAGAATATGCAAAAATGTTATCATGCAGTCAGCCATGCAATGCAAAAATCAGTGTTCTTTTGTTCAGAGTGGACATATGCCTCTGTCACTGGCTGTAACTGGATCTGCACAAAGATCTTTATGGCACCACTGAGAGTTTGCAATAGTGAAGGCAGACACTTCTAAGAAGATATTCTATATTCAACAATAGGTCATAGTCTTTTATTTGCAATTAATGCCACCTCCAGCTTCTTCAGTCAAAGGAGAATTCCCTAGGAAGGCATTTTAATGCTGTAAGATTAGCCTTGAAACAATGTCTGGCCAGTGTGTTTAATACAGAAACAACTAAGGACAAATAGCAAAGGCTGGCACATAGCTTATTCTACAACATGCTAAAGCAAAAACTCACACAAAAATATTACACTGATTTGTGATACTCAAGCCACTGGACATGACTAAATAAAATTAATTAAATGCCATAGGAATAAATACTAAATGAACAAAAATGTAAGAAACTCTTTAGGAGGGATCATATATTAAATAAAATCAACAGAATGAAATGTCCCAAGACAAAGAGATGAGCAGCAAATTAACTTCCTCTGATAACCAGGGAAGAGAAAAAACGGGGCTGGAATCATAGATCGTCTTTTCAGGTACAAGAAGGATAGTCGTAAATGACCATTAAATGAAACCTAAAAACCCATAAGAGGAGACATTCTGCTGGCTGCAAGTGAAGAACTAAAACAGAGCTATGGTTTCTAAGTGACGTAAGGGAGAGGATTGCAGACATAGCCCCTTCCCTCCTCTGAGTGACTTTCTAACAGGAGGTGCCCTCATCACTCAATAGCATTCCTTTTGGCTGGCAGTTGAGTCCAGGGTCACAGTCATTTTTATAGTTATGTGATCACATTTGGTTTGTTCTTGACTCAAAGGGTCAGCAAAGGCATCGTCAGCATCAGGAACTAAAATGCAACACCATGACCAGGAGATTTCAAACACCATCGTGAGCCCTGGCTGGTTTGGCTCAGCGGTTAGAACGTCGGCCTGCGGTCCAGAGGGACCTGGGTTTGGTTCCTGCTAAGGGCACGTACCTCTGTTGCAGTCTGTCCCCGGCCCTGGTCGGGTTGTGTGGGTGGCAACCACTCGATCTGTCCCTTTCACGTCGATGTTTCTCTCTCTCTTCCTCTCTCTCCCTCCCACTCTATCTGACCGAAAAAATGTCCTCAGGTGAGGGAAAAAAAAGAAGGCTCCATCATGAACCTCAGACCAAACTTGAATTTAATGGACTATTATTTGGCCTGAAAAGCAACTGTAATGCTGGTCTGTATCTCCTACAACTCAAAGTGATGTTAAAGAACCAAGCTAAGAAACCCATCCAAGACAAAAAGCCTGCGCAAAAGAAACTCAGCACCTCAAATGGGACCTACAGACCACCTTTTCCTTCTCAGGCCATTTTCGGCATGGCCTCTTGCCATCCCTTCTCTCGGCAATCCTCGTAGTTTATCTCCAACCACATGACCCCTTCATGCTTTGGCTGCTTCCCAAAGCCTATTGATTATGTACTTTAAAAATAAACTCTCTCCTGCAGAGTGATTTGGAGGGCAATGAATAAGAAGGAGAGGTCCTGTCAAAATGTTGAAGGCAGAAAGCAAAACTACATTGAAGGAAGCTTATTTAAGACAGGAATATGCAATAGGAGCAGATGAACTCCTAGGCAACCCAGATCCTCATTTCATGTAAATAGACACAGTGATTAAAAACAGTAAAAGGAAACAACAGCAAAATGTCACATTTCAGAGGCACTGGAATCATTCAGAAAAGTGGATGTTGCTCCAGACTTTCTTTTTCAGTCTGCAACACGGAAATAGTCTAGGCTTCCTTCCTCAGGACCAGAGTGGCCCAGTGGCTGGAAGAATTTCATGATATTGCCTATTCCTCTGACCCACATTTATAAGTCTTGAAGGGATGTTTGCAGCACCAGGTTATTACTTTGGAAACTAGACATTCATTTATTCCATTATCATTTACTATACATTCACAAGAGCAAAATGCTCAGGGATGGGAGTTTGCAGACTGGAGAAGAAAATACCACTGCCTTTAAAGAGTCTTACTATGTGATAGCAGTGAGATCTACAATTAGTTATGAATATCTTATCCAGCTTACTTTGGTTATAGCAGCAATGTGTAATTATGTTTATTGGGCATTTGGGGGTGTTTCTTTTCAGGGTTCCTTTTTGTGTGTAAGGAAATGTCAACATCGCCCCCTCATATATAAACGGGACACCTTTCACCTCAGACTAAACTGCTCTGAGAGAGATATTAATCTAGGCTGTAACAAGGGCATTTCCAAATCTTAGCTGAAGAACCCACATCATCGGTATGGGGCATGATGTGGGATGTGAGAGGAAGAGAAAAATCAAGCACAACCCCAAGGATTTTGGTCTGGACAACCAGAATAGAGTTGTAAGAAATGAGAAGGGAAGGCTATGGGGAGAATAGCATAAATGGGAAGATCAGGTTTAAAATCAGGAGTTTAATTTGACATATTGGATTTGAGATGCTTATTAGACATCCAAGCTTAAGTTGAGTAAGCAATGGATATTTGGAATTCAGAAGAAAAGTCTTGGCTGTAAATATAAATTTGGGAATTATTAGCATTTGGGTGGTCTTTAAAGCCATTTGACTAGGTGAGATCCCCAGGAAAATGAAGGTAAACAAAACAGAAAAGAAGTCTCCAAAGCTGAGAGGACAGGGAGAAGAAGAACCAAGCAAAGAGACTGAAAATGAACAATCAGTGAGGTGGAAGGCAAGTGATGTGTATCAAAGAGATAAGATTTAGGCTTGTAAGTCAAGTATTAAGACTGAAAATCGACCACTGGATTTTGTAATGTGGAGCTCACTGATGACTTTGACAAGCATAGATTTAGTGAAGTGGTATAAACAAAAGCCTAAATTTGAGTAGCTTTGAGAGAAAAAGGACTAGAATGTTCTTACATGCTGTTGGGAAAGATTCACTGAAAATGAGAAACTGATGATGTAGGTTATGAAATGAACCCCTTATAATGTTATTCAAACAGCACAAATTATAAATTATTTTATTTTATTTATGTTGTTGTTGGTTTATGACTTAAACTTTGTTACATATTATTTATTTGTATATTTATGCTTATGTTTATGTAAATAAATTTTATAAACATAAAATATTATAAATTCTAAATTCACATACTAATTAGTATTCCATATTTTAGAAATACCTCAGGTAAAAAATGACAATCTTCAGCTATTTTTTCTATCAATGCTTTTCTTTAACAATTTAAAGGATAAGGAGCTAGAAAATGTGAACAAAATAAAGGCACCTTTTTTCTTAACATAGTTTTCCAAAGTAAAATTTGCCTTGTTCTTTAAGGAAGGAAAGTTATAATGATGCCATTACAATTTAACCTAGTTATGAATAACTGCAAAGGTGCAAAGGGAAGGCCAAATACTATGGGCATGCCATTTGTGCAGCTGTGCCAGGAAGCTGCAGTTTACACACATGCCCAGTAAAGTCTGGGTGACATAGGAAAGGTACTTGCCAGTCAATCACATCTGGGAACAGGTCATTGACCAGAGTAGGAGTGGCCACTGCAAGTGCAGAAAGATTTGAAATATGTAACCTCCTAAACAAAGGAGTTAGCTCTTTTGCTTGCTTGTGCTCTTGGGATGCTTCTTGCAGGGGGCATGCTCTCTTGGCTCCCCTGCATTCGCCCACATGACCCACAGCCATGTGGACCCCACACAATGGACTGATGGACTGCAACTAGCCTAATGCTGTACTGAACCCAGCTCCACCAAGCAATGGAAATTTTGGATGCTGGCTTTGGCTCTAGCTCTGCAGAATCCCCAACTGCACCTCTTCCAGGACTAGATTAAGGGACATGGGACTTTGGAAACCCAAGGATGTAAAAATAAAATGAAAATAAAGCTTTCTACCACAACTCATCCTCCTATGGGGACCTCCAGATATGTTTATTCCAGCGGTACCCCAAGAACCCCACTTCCATTAGGAACAGAGAAAGACCATCCATGCATTTCTTGGATAACAATAAGGTACTTGACAAAAACGTGAAATCTTTCTCCTCAAGGAAGAGAGAGAGAGAGAGACTAATGAAACTATTTAGCTATGACTTCTTTAAAAATCTCTTTTAAATATAGCATATTTATGAATAGACACTTGACTTTTATGCTCTGAAAATTCTAGGTCTGACGCCATCCAGTAGCTGCTCAAATTGATAATTTTGTATTATAGCAATGATAATGATGATGATGCAGATAAGGAGATTATGATAAGGAGAAAATTATATTTGTATGGGTATATATGGATTGATTGATTTACAAGTGGTATAAGCTATAGCCAAGAACAGCATTTAGATGTTCTTCTTTTCTAAAACTGAAAAGAAGGTAAACCAATCCAAATTTTTAAAGGAAAGAGTAAACTTAGCCACAAAGAATTTTCCAGCAATGAACCACTTGGATGCTAGATACAGTCACCAAACCATATTTAGGTATCCTCTCCCCAGGAGAGACTACCCCAGCATTCTGTTTTTATTAATTTGTGGTAACAGTATTTTTGGTGGGTATGAAGAAGGAAAGAGAAGACAATTCTGCAAAATTGAATAAAAATGATGAGGTGTGATTTTTCTTCCTCAAGAATAATATCTACCCAAGACATTAAACTTGATTCACTTTAGCTCAGTAGCTCCCTTTAATTTTGCTATGTGGGGATTAAAAAAAATAATGCTTTTTCTCCCACCTTCTAATTTCTTCTAGCTGGGCTGATCATCAAATAAACAGGGACAGATTAACAGGAGAAAATCAAGTTTTAATAAGTGCACCTGAGGAATTCACATTAAGCATGAAAATTCCAAAGACAGTGAGACAACATTAGGTATATATGAGGATCTGGACAATGGATAGAAGGGGGAAACGAGGTCTTAGGTTTCAGAACTGAGAAGAGGTGATATACAGGTAGCTGAGGAAGAGCGGAACACACACAGCAGGTAAAGTCTTGCCAGGTGACTCAGAAACAGGGAGACACGCTGGGTCTCTAGCTTACGGCCCCTGTCTGAGTCTTTCTTATTTATCATACTTAATTCAAACTAGGCTAAGGGAAACATCCTAAAATGTCCACCCTGAAGCAGGTTTTCTTCTAGGTATCTCCAGGGCAGAAGAGGGGGGAGGGTCTTTCTGAGTCTTTTGTTTCTTAACACACAGTATAAAACAAGTATCCAAAAGGCATCTTCAGAATGGCAAAATTTTGGTTCCCTTCAGCTACTTTTAGTTAAGGACAAGAAGATGCCCATGATATTTGTTTATAATAATCCCAAGTAAATCTTTTTTACATGCATAAAAAGGAGGTTGTTTTTTTAAAATTTTCCCTTCTGTTTTTATTGTACATGAAATTAAAATTAAACACAGGCTGAGTGAAGTGGATAGATGGTATATTTCCAAATTCTCTCACCCTTGAGTTGGAAGAGTAACTATGAAATACCGAAACATAGTTCTTCAAATAGCGAATTATATATTGGAGCATTTGTGAGAAACTGCAATTAGATATTTCATGACATGATTGGTCTACAGAAAGAATAAAAACAGCCTTTATTCTATGTGGTTTGGAGGGTTGGCTTCTTTTTAATTATACATATTCAATAAATAAATAGTTATTTACAAAGGCATTTAGGGCTCTCTGTGGTTACAAAAAGAAGTGGCGAGTCTTGCTTTTTCTCTGCATTTAGATCATTTTGGGGGAGGGGACATATCTTATTTAACCATGCTGTCATAATATATATTCAGAGTGTGTGCTCTCACTTCAAAATTACCACCATAAAGGGCAACCACTGTAAATAAGTGTGCTGAAATAAAAATACATTCGCTTGTGTGAGTTTCTGTGGCTAGAATCTTTTACAGCAGTAGGATACCAAAGTAACAACCAGATGAAAATAAAGTGTTAGAAAACCTTGGCGGCTATGCTTATATCTTTGGACTGCTTAGAACAAAAAGGAATCTTTCTGTCCCACAAAGCATTTCTGCAATATCCCAAGTCATAAAGAATGGCGGTCGGGATTTACGGTTAAACAAACAAAATGAAACAAACATACAGAAAACACCAAGGAATCATGAAGTGACTGACAGCAGACAATTGCTTCTAGCGCACAAAGAAGCAGATAGAAAGGCTGGTTGAACTCTGTACAGTCCTCACGCTCCTTCCTAACACCGCTTTTGTTCCCATAGAAGATGCTAATCACTGCTCATTAGCATACATTAGCAAATGTTAATGAGTGTGTTCTAAAGAACAAAGGCAGTGGGGGAGACTGGAGTTAGAAAGAAGGCTGAATGTTAAGAAAAAGGCTACAACAGAAGACAGAGGCAGAGAACAGGAGGGGTTTAGGACTTGGATTTATAGTTTCCTGAAATTTGGGAGACCTGTCTTCCTGAAAGACAAGAAGGCTAAAATAATTAAGTTCATTTTTCTCTAAAAAAAGAAAAGAAAAGAAAGAACAAATAAAAAAAGACAAAGCAGTCATTAACTAAAAAAAATTTTTTTAAATAATTTTTTCCTACTCTTTAGCTGATTGGGAAAAATTACACTTTGTAGGATTTGTTACTGAATTAGGAACATTAGTTAACATCGTCATCAGTTAATGAAAAGGAATTCTGAATTGTAGATGTCCTCTTGAGTTTGTAATCATTGTGATCACCCATCTACCTATTCCAATTTTTTACCCCACAGACTCAATTTATTGTGTTCAATAAGACTAAACCAGCAATTTGGATATGGTCTGTAATTTTATTTATATAGTTCACATAGAAGATGGTGTATGTGTTAATTTCTATCCTAAGGGCAGCTGGTTAACTCCAGCTAGTAATCCACAATGTTAGAATGAAGATTTAATATCTGACAGACTAGTCAGGAGCACTTCAGCCATCTCTGTCTCAAATTAGTGCCAGATGGTTTGTTAATCAGAGTAATGCTTATTAGAAGTGCATTTTGTGAAATTAAATGTGATTAAGATATGTTGATAGGCTAGATACATTGACTGAATCCTGTCCTGGTTTTTGAGGGTCAGAGAATATATTAGGCTCAATAATCATCTTCTTTTGGAATGATAGGCCCAAAAGTCCCAAATGGTCTTTTGTTTAGGCACTAACTGGAAGATTTTGCTATCTGACACAGTCTCAATGAAGTGGACATTATTATTCCCATTTTCCAGATAAGGAGTCAGAGAACTAGAGAGGAGAAGTGGGTAAACAGCCTCAGCTAGCACAGCTAGTAATTTACTTAGCTGATGTTTGGCTTGAAGTCATCCCTGGTACCACTGTAATAACTTGGTCACTAATTAATAACAGGAAAGAAGCAAAGGGCAGGCTAGATAATGCAGGCATACCATTTGTACAGCTTTGCAAAAAAAGCTGCAGTTAACACTCTCCAGGTCTGTTCCCTGCAGATCGCTGGGGAATGGACTGAACAATTGGCGCATGCCCAGGAGGGTCTGGGAGACTTGGGAAGGTGCTTGCCTGTCAAGCACACCTGGGAACAGGTCAGTGGCTAGAATAGGCATGGCCACTGCAAGGACTGGAAGATTGGATATTTAAATTCCTGAACAAATGGGTCCCTCCCTCTTGGCACTGTTGACTCTCTTGCTCTCTTGCTAGCCTGGGCTCCTGGCTCCCTTGTTGTAGGGGAGCGATTCCCCGCATTCACCCACATGGCCCACTGCCATCTGGACTCCACACAAAGGATTAATGGACTGAAACTAGCCTAATGATATGCCTGACCCAGCTCTACCATGGAACAGAAACTCTGGACACTGGCTTTACTTTTAGCTCTGCTAAGTTCCCAGCTACCCCTCTTCCAGGACTGATTTAAGGGAAATGGGACTTAGCAAACCAAGGGATATAACTTCACACAAATAAAGTTTTTTACTACATCTCATTCTCCCATGAGGGCCTCTGGAAATGCTTATTCCAGGAATGCCCCAAGAACCCCACTCCCGCTAGCAATGGAGAAAGGCAATCCACACAGTTTTCTAATAACTGTCCCCAACACATCACCAAGCCCTATTGATTTTACATCCTTGAACCTGCCTGTTTATTTCAGTCACCACTATCAACACAACAGAAAAGCTATCGTTGTCTCTCTCCAGGAACACTGAATTAGCTTCTCTTACCTCATTCAATCCATTCTCAGTGCTGCAGTCCATTGTATACAATCATGGATGTAATTTTACATTTACTTACTAGATTGTGTTCATTTGTTTGGCAATATATAAACTAAAACTTTTCAAGGCTGCAGCTAATTGTCTGCCTCTCCATAACAACCAATAGGATATATCTTATCCTCTTCACTTTTTAGATGACTCCATAAAAATTAAAATAAAAATCACAGTTAAACTTTGATGTTCTCAAGAAAATATGTTTGTCAAGAATCACCAAAATTGCAATTCATTGTGGAATATCAGAAGAATTAGTAGGTTAATCCTAAAATATTATATATTACATGTTGTACTAATAACAAATGGTTTGGTTTTTTTATACCGTTGTAATTAGCTGATTATTAATAGTAGGAAAGGAGCAAAGGGAACACCAGACACTATAGGCATGTTCCCTGCAAAACACTGGGAAAAGGCGACTGAACAAAGGGAAAATAGACACATGCCTAGTAAGGTTGGGATGACTAGGAAAG